AGCAGCAGAGGGGGAAGAAGAGAAAAACTCAGCCAAAAACCAACAAACCTCCAAAAAAGCAGAGCGGGCCTGGGCCTAGGCCCTCACACGAACCTCTGGCACTGCAAGCGCCACACGTCGATGCTTCAAATGCTGATGAGGTGGAGGTGGGCCCCAATGGCGATGAAGCTAGTGATGGTGAGAGTGATGGTGGCTCATCCTCCTCATCATCATCAACGTCAAGTGGGGATGCTGTCGACAGATCTGACAGCAAATCATGGAGAGCCATTGCGAAATTGGCAGCTGCAATACATGTTCCACAAGCCAAGAAACTGGCCGCAGCCAAGACCAAGGTCAAGGCTGCAAGTAAGCCAAAAGCCAAGCCCAAGGCAGGCTCCAGTGAGGCTGCTTCAAAGCCAGTGCATCCTGAGCCTGACCCTCCGCGCATTCCCAATCCGAATCCAGCTTCATCATCGTCTCGGGAGGCGCCTGCTCCTGCTCCTTCTCCCCAGGAGCCTGATACCCAGACCCCAGCCCCACGTCTCCCTGCCCCAGCCAGAGCAGCAGCCTCTCGCCCAAAAACAGTGAGCGAAGACATTTTCAACATCCCTGAATGTGGAACATTGCGATACAACCCGAGAACAAACACTATCACTGCACATTGCACTTGGCCAGGCCATGACAATTGCAGAAAGCAAAAAACATGTGCAAGAGGTTCGGGTAGCTTCAAACAAGGAAGGCCAATAGGATTTTTAGTGGCTTGGCTCCAATCAGCTTCTCGACATGAGAGTGCTGTGGACCACAATCGCAGAACTGTGGTGCATTTGGATGTTCCTTGTTGAGAGAAGGCGCGACAGTACTTTAGTGGGCTTGAAGGTTCAGAACACTTTTTGCAATATGAGCGGGCAAAGGATGAAGGTGAACCAGATGAGCCAACCGAAATGCGGATGTAGCTCCTCAAACTTCACCCATCAGTCCATAGTAAGTTCACCAGCCACTGCCTCTGTCCAAGACAGCTTGGCAGCGCAGCTCACAAAATGATGATGGCGTTTGCTGGTGCATTGTCATTGTTTTCTTCTGCAGTTTTGCTAAAGCACTGTGCAAGGGCCCAGGTCAGGTCCTAGGCCCCAATAGGCCCCAGGCCTAGAGTCTCTAAAGTCTGAGTCTAGGTCGGAGTGGTCAGAGGTCGCTGTAGCACAGCAAGCAGCAAGATGCAAGCAGAAGCATTCAGAACGCACGTTCGGCTTGACTTTAAACTGCCTGCCGCTGGCAGGATCTACTTGGGTTTCTTGCGCAAGGACAAGTTCACAGAAGCTGATGCATTGGCATGGGCTTTCACTGTCCAGGAGAAAGGATTTTTGTGGGGCAGGTGCAGTCAACTGTAACCTCATACATTGTCATACATACTGACATACTGGCCTACTAAGGGCCTACTAAGGTTACTAGTTACTGTTGACCATAGTTCACCAGCTCCCTATGGCCCTACGGACTAAACTAGAGTAACTAGAGTAGTAACTAACTAGAGCAACTAGAGCACACTGTAGGCACTGTAGGTCTGACTGTGCGCTGTGGACTGGACGCAAGACTAGGACGTGAATCACACAATGTATGCCTGCAAACTTCAATTGGTCCATGGTGACCATGACATGGTTTTCTGATAGGTAGGCCTGGACTGGCAGGTTTTTCTACATGACGGAGTCAGGAAAGCCAGGAAGCTACGGCTGTGTTTTTCAAGATTCAGAGTAAACTGAACATCATCTTCCAGCTGGTTCCAGCTGTCTTCAGGAGATCGTGAAGAAGCAATTGGAACAAGAACCCCGTCCTATTCAGGACTTTCTGCTTCCCAGGACATCACGGCGCTTTTACACATTGATGAACGCATGGAAGGTCGGCAGATTCGGGTGTGTTTACACAATCACCAGTTGAGCGGAGACGCTCAAGCTATGCGATGTTTGAGAAGGTTTGTCTCAGTCTTTGTTCCCCAGCCCGAGATAAGGCAAGGGGCTCTTACTTCTCAATGGTGTGGCCCTGGATCAGAGTTTCGTTTTGCCCATGGCACATGGGCTTTTGTGGTGGTGGCGCTGGATCAGTGTTTTGTTTGGGCATGCTGGTGCTGGCGCTGGCTCAGGTGCTGGTGCTGGACAGCCTTTGCTTGGGGCGTGCAGGTGCTGGCGCTGGTGCTGGATCAGCTCTTTGTGCAGGGCAGGTGCTGGGTGTGGTGCAGGTGTTGGTGCTGGCGCTGGATCTGCGCGTTTTGGGGGCATGCTGGGGCAGGTCTTTGTGTGGGCGCTGCTGGCGCAGGTGCTGGTACTGGCACTGCGTCCGCGTTTTCTTGGGATGTGCTGGCGCAGGTGCTGTGTTTGGGGGCTTTGCCCTTGCATCGTTTCCCTGCCTTGTGATGATGTGGATGACATTGTCGTGCCAGGGGCTCATGCCAGGGATGAAATCATGTCATGCCATAATCATAATGATGGCGAATCGTTTTGCCAATGCTGGTCCTGCTCCTCCATCGGTGTTTTGTTTGGGTATGCTGGTGCTGGACACTGGCACAAGTGCTGTTGCTGGATCGGCATTTGCTTCTGCTTGGGGCTTGCTGGTGTGGTTGCTGCTGCGGCGCTGGATCACGCCGGTCGACTGGAGGCACGGGTGTTGGCGCTGGGATCAGCGTTTTCTTGGGGCAGGCAATGCAGGCGCTGGTGTGGGTGCTGTTGGTGATGGGGCTGGCACTGGATCAGCGTTTTCTTGGGGTGTGCTGGTGCAGGCGCTGGTGCAGTAGTTGCTGCTGCTGCTGCTGCTGCTGGATCGGGCGTTTTGTGCGGGCATGGTGCTGGCGCTGGTGGATTTGAAGACTGTTTAAAGTTTAAAGTCTACTACTGTTTGTTAGTTAGTTTGTTTGTTTGTTTGGGGGACTCTACATCTTTTCCCTTTGTCGATGACACAGTGTCATGCCAGGGACGACGTCATGTCATGCCAAGCTGCCAGGCTGCCAGGGATGAAATCATGTCACGCCAGGGATGACATCACATCACGCCAGGGACAATTTCAATATCCCGTATCCACAGATATTGTACCTGACAGTGATGCGTGTCCATCATTTCCCTTTGTGGATGAAGTGGTGTCATGGCAGAGATGACATCATCTCATGCTGCTCATTGACGCAAGACTTGACTATGTGACTATGTCCTATGTCATGTCACAGACACTGACATAGGCATAGACTTTTTTTGTTTCCCAGAACTTGTTTTTCACCAGCTGCCCAGCTGTCTGAAGTCAATCAGAATCTAGGCCCTAGGCCTACGCCTTGCCATGGCAGTGGAACTTTTGATAATGTGGCCCAAGAGGCCCAACCATCTTGGCGGACGGGACAGGCCCAACTGTCGTACCCGAGCAATACTCATCATATAATATATAATATAATATCTTTAACGTAATATTATAGTATAGTATAGAATCGTCAAATAACTAGTGACTAGTAACACTAGAGCTGCTAGTAACTAGTACCTAGTAGTATTCCTGAGGCCCCAATTAACTAGTCTGAGTAACTAGTAACTAGTAACTACTAGTAGGTCCTAAGTCACTAGGTCTTTACAGGCAGTAGTATAACAATCTGGTAACTGCTAACTAGTAAGCGCGCGCGACCAGATCAATAACTTCAAAGATAGTGGAACCAAATAACAATCAAGGAGGGGGAGAGACGCAACTTTGACAACCATTTTTCGGGTACGTGATGCCAGTGTGTGTGTGTGTGTGTGGTTATGTTGACACCAAACCTTAGGATTCCAAAACACACCTTGCCATACAGCCTGTGTCCAGAGTCTAGAAAATTCTAACAATATCATTTTCTTTCAAATGGTTTTTTGCTACAGTGACATAGTGACATAGTGATAGTTTAATTATGGAATCTATAGAATCTAAGCCTAAGCCTGTGCCAAACTTGGCAGCGTAGCTGCTGTCTAGAGTCTAGAGTCTAGAGAGTGAAGAGTCTCAATCTAGGGCCTAGGGTCTAGAGTCTAGAGCTTAGTGTGGAGTCTGGTCCAGTCAAATCTTAAGTAACAGTAGTCAAGTCGTAGCCGGCCTCACTGTGACTGTCACCAGTCTACAAGTCATTTAGTTTGGGCAGGTGAAGTGGGTTAGTCTAGTAAGTAGTGGCTTCTGGTGATTCTGGTGAAGCTGTCTGGCAGGGCTGAATTCTAAATTCTAGGCCCTAGCTGTAGCTGCTTGGCCAGCCTGCTGCTCAAATTTTGGGGCAGGTTGTTGCCAGGGAAAGGCTTCGGGCTGGCTGCGGCTGGCTCCTGGCAGAGGGGTCAGGTTAAGGTCGAGCTCAGGCAGGCTACAGGCGGGCTGGGGCACGCGGGGCTGGGCCGGCAACAAGGCAAAAAAAAGTCAATTGGAAAAGTCAAAAAAAAGTCAAAAAAAAAGTCAAAAAAAAAGTCAAATGTGCGGCTCCTGGCCTTGGCGGATTACTGGAGACAACAAAAAGTCAAAAAAAAGTCAAAAAAAGTCAAAAGTGGAAAAAGTCGAAAAAAGTCAAAAAAAAGTCAAAAAAAAAAGTCAAAAAAAAGTCAAATGGTGAAAACCCAGCGCGGATCCTGGCCTTGGCGGATTACTGGAGACAACAAAAAGTCAAAAAAAAAGTCAATTCTGACCGCGATTCTGGGGCAGGACAGGGCTGGGCACTTGGGACTCTGGGGTGGCTACCAAGGCCACCAGGGACAGGCCTGGCTTGGGGCTGAAGAGACCCTGGGACAGTGGCTGGGGCTGGGTAGGGGTCCTGTGACTCTGGGGTAGAGGGTTGGGGCTGGCTTGGGGCTGGAAAAGGTGAAAGTTGAACAACCAAAACATTTTAGAATTTTCAATAGGCTGAAAGCCATAAGCCATAAGCAAAAAGGCTGCAATTTGCCTTCGCCCAGGCCCAGGCCCTAGGTCTCTAGGTTGTAATTATGTTCACTTGATATCTGATAGCTATAATTTTTCTTGTCCTTGGGTTGCCCAGCCTTCTTTGTTTCTGATGTAAGGGTGACTAACTGACTATACTTTACTCTAGCTGCTAGTTACAGCTAGTTTTACACTCAAGTTAGTTAGTGGCAGATGACTATTGACTAGTGACTAGTGACTGGGTCAAGTCAAGTCTCCAATGACCCCAATGAATAAACTGACCTGAACTCAAAAGATTTTTTTAGATAAAGAGTTGAAACCACATTCGATGAAGGGAAGGCACCCAAAAGATCGTTGGCGTAGCTGCTATACTACTATACTTGGTATACTATAAACAACATGATAAAAGCACAAATGACGAGCAGGTGTAGCAGGAATGTCCTATAGTCTACTATAAACTGTTTTGTACAGACTGAGGCATAAGGCATAAGGAGAAAGGCCCACTTACTTTACTTTTTTGTTAAATGTTCTTGTATTTCTAACACTATACTGAGCGCAGACAGGGTTCACTGGGATGTGTTCACTGTATGTCCAGGCTTCCAAACGGCAGTTGCCTGACAAGAGCAAGGAGAATGCAGTGTGGCAGAAACTGTCAGTCGAAGTCAGAACATCTTTGGGGGTGTCTCAAAATTATTCGCCTTGGACAGGGGGTGCGAACTTTGCAGGAGAAGGGCTTTCCCTCACCCAAAGGGTTGTGGACATTCTCAATGTTGTGGCCATCAAGGTCATGCAAGCGGACGCATCACGGCGATCCGTGCCCCAGTGCCTAGAGCATGTGTACGTTGACGTGTCACAGAGTCATGCCCGGTTGAACTTCACTCGGCGCAACGGTCTCACTGGAGCTTTCACAACGGCCACTGAGCTTTACTCCTACAAGGAAGACCGCGTGGTCCTCCCCCATGAGATGATGTGGATGCATGGTTTCCCTGTGGATTGCTCTGTTCCTAGCACAATTTCTCCGGGGGCCTTCAAAGACATGATTGGCAATGGGATGAGCCTTCCATCCCTGGCCACAATGGTGTGGGCTTTGCAGGTTATGATGGCACGGGGCTTTGAGGCTCCTGAGGGGTCAGCCATGGAGGTGAAGAGGGTCAAGAATGTAGTAGACAATGACTTGGAGATGGGCGCGCAGGAAATTGGCAAGGTAGTGAAGCCACGATCGAGGCCCCTCAAATGTCGACACACGCTGTGACCTTGTCATCCCCCCCTCGTTCCTATGGAGAGCAGCGCCTTCCTGTTTTTTCTGAGAGACTGGTAGGTAGTAGCTGCTAGATTCTAGATACAGATCGGGTAGGCCACTGGCGCTAGCGGGCTAGCCACTAGCGGCTAGATAGAGGCGGCTAGGCCAGGCGGCTAGACCCGCCCAGCACAGAGGGCGAAGCTTTGTGATGATATAGTGATAGTGATGGTAGTGGGACCATACCATACCGTATTTGTATTTATAGTTATTGAGCTGTGGGTTAGGTTCAAGCTCTCAATGCCAGCCTAAGGCCTAAGGCCACACTTTGGTCACTGTTGCCATTGCACTGCGGGGCAAACTGGAGCAAAGCAAACATGTAACTTTATATCATTCATAGACTTAGACATAGAGACGTAGAGACACAGACTCTAGACACTAGACTAGTGACTAGCGACTATGACTAGGGACTAGTGACTAGACTCGACTCGACATTCTAACTCTAGTCACTCAAGTCTAGACTCTATAGATTTAGATTCAGTGTTTCATAGTGGGCAGTCTCCTTTTGTTACTGCAGCAGCAGTAACTGGGAGAAGCAAACAATGTTATCATCCCTTATCCCCTTTCCCAGCTCTTGACTCTCAAAGCTTGAAGGCTCCAAGACAGAGGCAACAGCTGGGGTCTGGGTCTAGGTCCAGTCAGCAGGACTAGATGAATCGGAGGATCTGGGCAAACCGATGCGTCGGCCAGCCCCTAAATTTGAATGAGTGCACCAATCGCCACTGGCTTCCACTGGCCAGTTGTTCACCAATGTAGCTGTTCAGTTTGCACGCCGCCAGTGATGGTGAAAGACTACAGTTGCAGGTACAGGTACAGAACCTATCAGAACCAGCGTGTATGAAACAATAGAATAGAAAAATACTTGCGACTCTATGGCCTACTACTTACTACTACTACTACTATTACTACTACTACCACCACCACTACTACTACTACTGCTACTACTACGAAGACCAAGACTCACCAGCAAGCTGGCCTGAACAGTGACAAACAGCTCAGCTAGCTTAGCAGAGCCCCCGTGACAAAACAGTGAGGCCTGCGCCTGCTTGTGATGTTGCTGCACTGTGAACAAATGTGCCAAGTTCTGTGGATGCGCGGTGAACTTAACATAGATTCCATACACTCAATTGAC